TGACAATTTTCGACGAACTTGACAAAAAACAGAGGTTTTGTCATTCAAACACATTTTCGACATGTTATCGGACCGGGATCCGGTTCAAATGATATGGGCGAGATGGGCCCTGTTGAGATCTATCATGTGCTATCAAAACTGTCTGATTATCTTGTTCCAGGGAAAAGTTAACAGCCGGACCGCCACCTGCCAGGGCCGGTCCGCTTGAAACTATGGTAATTTCCTTACTTCAGAGACTCTGAAATACCCTTGTTTGACATCAATACACCCTAAGACCGAATCGCTTATCAAGATGTTGTTCGATGCTGGAGAATTTGTTAAATTGGGTCTTCTCAAAGAGATTGCATTGGTTATCACAAAGAAAGAAAATGAAGAAGAAGCAATCGAAGTGCACTCGTTCAAGTTTCAATGCTTGGAAAACGGCGATATTTCGACGACATTGAACACTGTAGCTGGGAAATCGCCCTCGCAAAGAAAACATCAACCCGTTCTCACTCCATCGACATCGAAATCCAGAGAACATCAAATTGTCCACCTCATCAAATCTGTCCGCAATCTGTGTGCCTCCTTGCGCCCGTTGCCAAAGAAGTGTGCAGCGAATTTCCGGGTCAATTACACAGATCTTGCTGAAAATAACGATCGCATCGAAGGCTTTCACACTACAGAGACATTCTATGAATTGGCGAAAAAAGCTGTCACTGTTGAAGTCGAAAAATCGAATCAAGATGAACAAGAAGCCGTTTTGAGCTGTTCGAGTGTCTTTGTGAAGCCAAAATTCGGAACGTCGTCTCGCTTCAACCCTAGTAGCCGGGAATCGTCTTCAGCTTCGATGAATTCCACTCAGAAGAACAGCTCGAATAACAAGTCTCGTAATATTGAAAACGAAACAGTTCAGCTATTGGTAGAGGTTTTTTTTCGAGCCAATTTAAAGGAGGACTCCGACCAAAAATTTTTATTGTATGAAAATGTGTTAAAATTTATCTATTTTCCTAATATTATTGCGAAAACATTCAAAAGAAATCCGAAACCCCCGAAAAATGCTGTTGAAAACGAAAAAAATTCAAAAAAAGGTGCCGCCGAGGGACGAGGATTTGAATTCCCGCGCAGTGAGAAGCCTAGGCCACGGCGCCTGAGAGCATTATTTTCAAGTGGCCGACAGTGTTTTTTAACGTTTTTTACCTGTCGGAGATAAAAGCGAAACAAATCCGGAAAGATTGTACGGTAAGAAAGTCGCGCCGCTCGCGTGGCCTAGGTTTCTCACTGAAAATCATCGTCCCTCGGCGGCATCTTTTTTTGAATTTTTTTCCTTTTCAACGGCGTTTTTGGGGATTTCGGGTTTTTTTCGAATTTTTTCGCAAAAATATTCTGAAAATAGATACATTTTAACACATTTTGATGCAATAAAAAAATTGACCGGAGTCCCCCTTTAAATTAGTTTTTTCAGAAGGAGTTGCTCGATGAAAACAATTGGTCCTATCCCGCCAACTTGAAGCAATCGGAAGAGTCGCTGTAGAACTCGTAGCTCCCATCGTCGTCAATAATTATGCCTAATATTATTTTATTGCATCCCACACATAACCTGTTTTTGTAAATTTTGGATTTCAATTTTTTTCTAATTTTCGCGATCTCAAAAAACCCAAAATTTACTAAAGTCCATAGTTGCAAGCGGACTGGCCCGGGCAGGTGGCGCGCCGACTGATAATTTGTCTCTAAAACGAGATATTCAGACGGTTTAGGTACCAAATGATAGATCTCGACAGGGCCCATCTCGTCTATATCATTTGAGCCGGATTCCGGACCGATAAAATGTCGAAAAATGTTTTGAATGACAAAAAATCTGCTTTTTGTCAAATTTGTCAAAAATTGTCACTCAAACACGTTACGTTTTTTGACATGTTATCGGACCGGAATCCGGCTCAAATGATACAGGCGTGATGGGCCCTGTCGAGATCTATCATTTGGTACTAATACTGTCTGAATATCTCGTTCTAGGGAAAAGCTATCAGCCGGACCGCCACCTGTCCGGGCCGGCTCGCTTGCAACTATGCTAAAATCCCTCATTTATGTTGCATCCTCTCACACAGTTACGTTTTAACGTTTCTTATTGTCTAAAAACCCAGAATTCGTTTAGCTCTTTAGCTCATTCAGCGTATACTTGTTTTTTAATGAAACCGTTCATCGGTACGATTCTAGAGATGTCTCATGTATAAAAAAGTTATATAACAAACAAAAAACATCGAACAAAACTTAATAAGCATTGATTCTATCGTTCAAGATCTTTGGCTGACTTTCCTCTCTGTTTCGGCATCTTCTTATTTGTCGAATCCTCAAGTTCTCGTCCCTTATAATAATGCGGTGCCACTTCCAGAAGCCACGAGCTCTCGATTTCTGACATCTGAAAAAAAACAAATTTAATATGTTTATACTGAAAACGAAGAACAAACCTCTCTCATGAATTCCTTGCTCGTAAACACCAATTCGTAATAGACAACCCATCGAGGTGTCTCTTCAAAAAGACACGAATTCGGGTGTGGGTAGGTAGTGTGCTTGTGTTTGACCGTTTTGTAGAGACCCGAATTGTCCAGTTTTGATACATTATAGAAATAGCCAGCGGTGATGGCTTTTCGGATTTTTATCGTGTCAGTGGAGGATTTCTGAAAATTATCAATTTGAAATTTCATAAAAGCCTATATTATGCAGGTTCAAAAACTCGAAAGTCCCACAGCGACAACTACAGTAACCTAAAAATATTTCCATTTTCTGTGTTCATTTTCTCGATTCTCGCTAATTTTCGTAAAGTTTCCAGTTATTTCCCCCAAAAAAGTAAGAAAATTGAAGTTTTGAATGGGAATAACGGACTCGAAAATCGACATAAAATTGATTTTTTCTTCAATTTTTTGAGAAATTTTAAGACCTTTTCAGGTTTTTCGGCTATCGTTGTGGGAGTTTTTTGAACCAAAATAATACTATACTCACCAGTTCAATTTCCACTCTCTCCAACAATCCAACAAGCTGATCTCTCACATCTCTCGCCCGTTTCATCGTTCGATGTTGAACATAATTCTCCACACACCATCTCTGCGAAAAATTGGATTCTTGCCATTTATTGTAAACGTTCATAAGAGTGATATGATCTCCAGCGGGACTCCAAAAACCTTTTCTCGCCGAATCCGCATGAATAACTTGCGCCTTTGGTCTGTAGAATACCGCAGCATTGCACGAAAGCATCGCAGCAATAGTGACGATTTCCTCAGAACATTCGTATTTCTCACTGGCGATGATCATCTTACTCATACATGGATCACAGGGGAATTCAGCCATTCGTCGGCCTAATTTCGTCAATTCTCCACGATGATTCAATGCTCCAAGAGCATAAAGTTGTTCCAAAGCAATAACAAGTGTCTCTTGAGGTGGAGGATCCAGGAAGTCAAAATGTACAAGATCGTGGATTCCTAAAGACTTCAACATCAAAACCACATTTCCAAGATTTGTCCGTTGGATTTCTGGAATCGGCTGATCCTCCAATTCATTGTTGAATGCCCATGCTGTATACAGACGGAAACATTTTCCAGGACCAGTACGACCGGCTCGACCGGCTCTTTGATTTGATGCAGCTTTCGAGATAGTGACAACGTGTAAATGCTCAACTCCACTTCTGGCATCAAATGAGTTTTGTTTCGAGAATCCCGGATCGATGACGTAGCTGATTCCATCGATTGTGACTGATGTTTCGGCGATGTTGGTGGCGAGGACGACCTGGAGAATTTTCGATTTACAAATGGAACAATTTTCAAATTTCAGATTTTTTAAAATTTGAGTTTCTGAATTTCAGAATTTTCCAATTTTCAGAATTTCAGAATTTTTCGAATTTCTAAATTTTTGCATTTTTAAGATTTTCGAAATTTTGAGTTTTCCAATTTCTGAATTTTTAAATTTTCAGGATTTCCCGATTTTCAAGATTTCCGAATTTTTGAATTTTTTAGATTGCGGAATTCTCCAAATTTCAAATTTTCCGGATTTTCGGATTTCGGAAGTCTCCATATTTTCCAATTTTTAAATTTCAGAATTACTGGATTTCTGAAATTTTGAATTTCTAAACTACCGAATTACTGAAGTTTTGATTTTTTGAAATTTGAATGTTCAGATTTTGATAGAATCGGATTTCCGAATTCCTGAATTTCGAAATGTCGAAAATTCGAAAATCTCGGAATTTTTAAATTTTTGAGAATTTCTGGATTTTGAATTTCAAAAACTCAGAAGTTCAGAATTTTGCAATTTTCAAGATTTCTAAATTTTCGATTTTTAAACTTGCAGAATTTGCAGAATTTCCAAATTTCTCAATTTTCAAAGTTTCTGAATTTCTGAATTTCCGAATTTCCAAATTTCTGTCTTCTCCTTCTCTTTCATTTTCTTAATTTCTGGATTTCTAATGTTCGGAATTTCAGAATTTGTGAATTTCCGAATTTTTGAATTTCTAGATTTTCGGAATTTCTGAATTATTCGATTTTAAAAATTTCGGATTTTCTGGTTTTTCCTATTTAGGTCCTAAAACTGCCTGAAATTGGACTAAAATACCTGTCTATTAGAGGGGCCATTCTATTATAGGGGCCCTTCTAATACAGGTTCTACGGTATTTTTAAAACTCACTTTTCTCGCATCTTTCGGTGTTGGTTCGAAAATCTTTGCTTGCAAATCACTGGGTAAATTGGCATAAACTGGCAGTGGAATCAGTTCTTTAATTTTCGAACCAAGAGCTTTAGACCTTTCCATCAATGCCTCTTGCAGTGTTTCGATTTCCTCTTGACCCGTCAAAAATACCAGAATATCACCGGGAAGTGGTTGTGTTAGATGGATTTGCATTACTGTCACAATAGCGGCATCAAGATAATCAGCTTCTGGCGCTTGTGTATAGTAAATATCCACCGGAAATCGACGTCCCGGGATTCTGAAAATCGGAGCATCGTCGAAAAATCCAGAGAACTTTTCAGCGTCGAGTGTGGCTGATGAGATGAGGAGTTTTAGATCCGGTCGGAATCTGGCGATATCTTTGACGAGGCCGAATAGAATATCAGTATGAAGTGTGCGTTCGTGAGCCTCGTCAATCATCATAACACTGTAACTGGCCAAATCTGGTTCATTCAGAAATTCTCGAAGAAGCATTCCGTCTGTCATATACTTCAAAACTGTCTTTTCTGATGTGCAATCTTCGAAACGAATACTGTAGCCGACCTGAAAAAAGAAGAATCATTAGATATCATTCTGGTACAAAAATTGGAGCTGCGGAAGGTCCCACGACTATAACTACCGTAACCTAGAAGTCTGATTTTCATCGATTTTTCAGTCATTTTCCTTGTTTGGCTTGTTTTTGGTACAAAAATGGTTCTACTATTTTATTTATTATTTTTTTGACTATTTCCATGATTTTAGACATTTTTTGCCCATTTTCAGACTACTTTTAGCCATTTTTGTCGTTTTTTTCGAATTTTGGAAGAATTTTCAGCACAATTTTTGGATTTTCGAGGAAAAAGTCTTCGATTTTTTGCATAATTTTTTACCCATTTAGGTTTAGCTATTTTCGAACATTCTTTTTCGATTTTTTTGTCTGAAATTTGACGAGATGATGTTTGATTACGGTAGATTACTGTAAGAAACCTTTTATTTTGTAGTTTTTTGCAAGCAAATATTATTTGCATTTTGGCGTGATTGTGTTTACAGAAAGGGATACAAAAGGAAGTTGGCTCTACAGTAATCAAAACAACGTTCCATCAAATTTCAGACAAAAAAAACCGGAAAAATGGAAAAAGAATCTTTGAAAATAGCTGAAAAAAAGGTCCAAAAATCTCCTTTTTTCTTGTTTTTCTGACTGATTCTTGCCGATTTTTCTGTTATTTTTTAATTTTGGAAATTGAGATTTTTGATAGTGCAATTTTTGAAAAAATTGGTAGTTGTCGTTGTAGGACCTTCGGCCACAGCTCCGAAATTCGAAATTCTACCTACCTGCGTTCCCAATTTACACCCCACTTCATCGGCAACTCTCGCAGCAACAGACATCGCGGCGACACGTCTCGGCTGCGTACAACCAATACGCTTTCCTCCCTCACAAAATCCCGCTTCATACAAATATTGTGGCAACTGTGTCGTTTTTCCAGACCCCGTTTCTCCTTCAATAATCAGCACTTGATGCTCTCGGACAGCTTCAATGAAAGCCTCTCTGAATGCGTACACTGGCAAGGATCTACGAACTTCTGCAATCGACATCTTCCTCTTCTCAGCTTCCGTCTCTTTCTCTTTCTCATCTTCATTGGTTCCTGGCATTTGAAGTGCTTGAATAAAATCGATCTGTTCGTCGAGCAACAATTCGAACTCTGGCTCATTCTTTCTTGCATCCTTTGCTCCTAAATGTAGCATTGACGCCATCAACTGCTCCTCTTCCCATTTGGCTCCATCGCCTCCAGGCCTCAAATCCTCCTCATCGTCTTCTATATACTGCGAAGGGATAGTTTTCGATGTGGCATCTGGAAGGTGGTATCGCTTGATTTTCATAACCTCTCCTGCTTTCCCATGAGCTTTCGCATACTCTAAAACCTTCTTTCTGTACTCCATATCCTCTCTTTCTCGTTTCGTAAGCTTCTCATTGGCGAAAAGTGTCTGATCATCATGAACAATCGCTTCCAACTCTTCGAGTTTGTCGACTTTTCTTTTCTTCAAATACTGTCTTCTAGATTCTTCTCTCAGTTTATCCATCGTCATTCCCTCTTTGTCCTTGTTATCATCCCGTTTTTTCTCCATCACATTTCTCGTCTTTTCCTTTTCTCTTTTATTCATTCTCGCTGCTAGAGCATCTCTTTCAGCAATATCTGCATCTAGTTTTGCTTCCATTGCTTCAATGTCAGAATCATCTGATTCTTCTTTCTTTTTCGCCACTTTTGTACTTTTCTTGCTTGGCGCTGGAGCCTCATCTTCACTGCTACTCTCTTTCCTTTTCCGCACATTTGTCTTCTTTGAAGATGACCCATAATCGTCTTGTAGAATTCCAACTGCATTATTTAGCCGTTTCAGTTCTCTTTCTGCAAGTTCCGCTGACGTTGGTCCTTTCTGTCGTACTGGAGCTGCTCGAGGCATCTTATTGATCAGTTGTTCGGCGAAAGATTGAATTGCTGGAGAGATTTGAAAGTCACAATCATCTCGGAGCCTTTCCACTAAATCTCGAGGTGTTTTTGCTTTTTTGGCGAGCGCATGAACGTATTGGCAAATCGATTTGTCACTGATTCCCACGATTGAGTGCAACTGATCGTTAATAAATTGTTCCACAGACATTGTTCTGAAATTTAGAACGTTTGAAAAAATTAATATGGGTTAGTTTTCGAAAAAGACAAGAAAAAATATGCGAAGAATATTATTTTCGAAAGCGCCGCAAAAGTGTGCAAACACAATCACGGCATATTGCAGAAAAAAGTGAAATAGGTCTTGTTGATTCTAAAAACGAGCGAAATAATAATTAAATCTAACATTGTTAGAGATAAAATAGCTCAAAAATAACTTTAATAATTAGAAATTTAATTTTGGATTGAAACCGTTCTTTGTATTGTTCATTTTGAGAGTAGGCAATACCTACTAGACGGCACAGATAATGGAAAAAAGTAGAAAAAGGGAGAAGATTAAAAAAAGACAACAAAAACCAAATAATGAAATTACAAAAGCCTCAGAAATGTAGTCACCTCACCAACAGTCAGTGATATGCTCAATTGCTCATCCCCGGCAAAGAACCACGCGGGGGTTCGAACCAGCGATGCGAGAGTGTCGCTCCACAACACTTCGCCTACACCACGCGTGCATCGTTTCTTCGTTCCCCGAAGAGACATAGACAACAGCGCGTGTTTTTGGAGGAGGGAAGGGAGAGTTTCGCAGAGAAATTCGCTATTTTCGAGGCTATAAAAACATTTTTCTTGTTTAATAAGTAACAAAACATTCAAATATCATCTTTATAAAAATCCGAAAATACACATATTAACCCGAATGTTCGATTTTAAACGGTGGTGCTCGCAAATGTTACAAGAAAAAAGGAAAAAAAAAACAACAAGATAAAATTATATAAAATTAAAAACAAAAACAGCAGTGTATAAAAATAAATATGATATTTATGAATACTGTTTGAGTCTCTTCATATTCAAAATCCAAACAATCGTTCCAATCACCACAATGATTCCATTCACAGTCCAAAGGGTTCCAAGGCCAAAATGGGTGTATAGACTTCTGCAATTCGTAGAGTAATTAAAATTTAGTAATTAAAAAATTATGGAGGCTGTGAATCAAACTCTTACGATGTGTAAATGGGTCCAGCGATAAGAATAATATCCTCAGCAACAATCATGGCTCCCTGCATAACACTTTGGTTGATTGGTCCCAATACTTTCGAATAAATGGAATCCAGCGCAACGAACGACAATGGAATTCCAACTCCCATTACAAGACCAATCACAATAAGAAGAAGTGGAGCAGCTGGAGCAGATGCCGTTTCACACCAAGGGTAGATCGTTGGATTACATCCCAAATCAGCTGTGGAATTGTAAGAAGGCAATGGATTGCTGACTGGTTCCCATGGGAATGAGAAGAAGTACATTGATAAGAAAATGACAAGTCCGATAAGGAAGGCGAAACGTTGTTGGAGACTGAAAAACATAATTTAGTCGAGAAAAACTCTTTCAACTCACTATTTTCCGAGATTGCAGAAGAAGTACAGACAAGTTATGAGGACTGCCAAAATTCCAACAATTATCATTGTTACTGACATGGCGACTACTGTATGGGATCCACTCCATCCGTAATTATTCATTAAAATTACGGATGTCAGCGTAGTAATAGTGACAATTGAGAGCGTCGAATTCATCTTTTGAATCCAGCACAACACGATGGTCGGCCAGTTGAGGTTCATCTGACCCACTTTTTCAAAACGAGCTTTGATTCCAGACAATGACATGACAGATGTATCTTTTTCTGAAAAAAAAACTCGTCTTTAAATTCAAAAAGGAGAGGTCCTGGCCGGGATCGAACCGACGACCTTCTGCGTGTAAAGCAGACGTGATAACCACTACACCACAGGACCGCTGGGAACTGCGTCTCTCACTAGGCGCCTATGAGACTCACTCAATTGCGACTTGGCGCGACGAGGCAGCTCTTTGAAAATGCAACAAATGATGGCGACGGAGACGAAGTTGGTGAGAGCGGCGACCCATATTGGTGCAGAATAAATGTGGAATTTGATGCTTCCGATGATTTGATATCCAGGATATGGGATCCAGAAGAAGAGAGCTTGGATTACTGTAAAAAAAGAGATTCACGGTCTACTGTAAACACTTGTAAAATATTATCATCTACTTTGAGAACCCGACTACTTTGAGCTCATATATCTTGTTTTCTGTGCGAGATATCAAAAAGTGATCAACTGATAAAATGTTTAACATAATGTCACACATATTTTGTCAATTGACCACTATTTGATATCTTGTACAAGAAATGAGATAACTGAGCTCAAACTTGGCGGTGTGAGGGACCTTCAGGTTTTATTGCATATAAAAAATATGTACATATTACTATCTTTCAAAAATGAATCCTACTAAAACAACTGATTAAACTAGTACCATCTTACAGGTGTCACAAATCCGTTCTTAATTGCAATAGAGTACTTTTCAAAAGAGTGCATTTCTTTAATAAAAACCAACTATGGACGCAATTTGAGCTCAATTATCTCGGTTCCTATGACAGATATTAAAGTGTGTCAACTGATAAAATATTGGTGATTTTAAGATAAACTTTTTGTTAGTTCACAACTTTTTGATATCTTGCGCATGAGACGAGATCTGCGGGTTTAAAGTTGAGGGGTTGGATGGCGCTCTATTTTTCACGGTGTTTTTTCCGGGACGTTTTTAAAAATAATTTTGAATTCGCGCATTTTTTGATGGAATGCAGGCTACCGTTCGTAGCGACTCGGCCGTTCAGTCTAATGCATGCGCGTCGATACTCAGCGCGCTCAACTACGGTATTCGCGTTAGAGAACATTTACCTTACGTCCTGAAAAAAACACCGTGTATTTTCAAATGTTTACGGTAATTTAAGTTTTGAGCTTTCAATTACAGTAATGCAGTAGAAAAAACTCACTTGGTCCAACAATAATCGAAATCATAGTAGCCGCATTGAGTCCAGAATAGGCTTTTGGACGATCGGCATGTGAAGAAATAGCAGCCACATAGGCGCGAAGAATCGTTGAACTACCTAAAAATTGGTGGTTTTTTAAAGCAAACAGTTAAAAAAACTCACTAGCAGCAATTCCAAACAGGATATAACACAAAGCCATAACATATCTCCTTCCATTATCAAACATTTCGACACAAAGATAAAGCATACATGCTCCGAAAGCAATGATTCTTCCGGCGACAAGAGGTTTACGGAACGATTGATATCGATGACACCAGACGGCGAAAACGAGAGCTGCTAGCGCATGGAACATTTTTGAGGCAGCTGTGGCGGCTCCGAAGAATTGAGCATCGGCTTCTTTGTCGATTTCATTCATGTACGGCCATTCGCTCATTCCAACTACTGTATTCTCAATCGCAGCAATGAACATGACGAGTGAAGCGATCAGGATTCCATTCCGATTTGTTTCGATCTCCTGTGATTCTTCGCTTTCATTCTGACTCTCATCGTCTGAAATATTGAATTATTTTTAAGTATTGAAATTCCGTAAAACCTTTAATTGAAGGGCTCCCAAACTTTAAGTTTGAACTAATTTATCTCGGTCTGTGTGAAAGATATCAGAAACCTGTCAACTGATAAACTGCTTCTGATATTATGATAAACATTTGTTCAGTGGACACATTTTCGATATCTTGCACAGGAATTCAGATAATTGAGCTTAAACGGAACACTGTTAGGGCCCTTCTATTACAGGTTTTACGGTGAGTGTTTTTACGGCTTTTTTTCTAGTTTAGAGGTCCCAAAATAAAATGAAAGTTGAAAATTTAGAGAAGCACAGATGTTGAAATAATGTACAAAAGTTTAAATTATTCCAAAATCTGTGCGTTTTTCAAATTTTGGAACTCTATTTTCTTTTGGGACATCTAAACTATTTTGCAACCTTTGAACTAGAAAAAGAGGCCCATTTTTACCTGGTAGTCTATCTTTTGGTAGTTCTTGACTCATTGATATCACCGGCATCTGATACCTCTCTGCAGCGGCCACCGCGGGCATTTTGCTCGCTGAAATTGATTGAAATTGATTGAATTGTGCTGGGGCAATATTAGTTTTATTAATGTAAACGATCAAACGGATAATTGAATTCCCTCACCCAAAAGCAATCAGAAAAATAGGTTTCATCTAATCTTGTAAATCTATTTTCAGAGGTTTTAAAATAATTGATCAGTCGGAAGGAATCAAAAAAATTCTCACAAAATCAATGTCGTCATTAGGGGGTTTTTCTCATCATGTGGGAGGAATCAGGGATCAAATTTTTGGAAAATAAGTCTTAAAAAATCAGACTGATCAAAAACTAAGAAATTCGAAAATTGAGAAAATCGGATATTGAAAATTCGGAAGTTTGAAATTTCTAAGTTTCAAAGATCCAGGTTTGCAGGTTTCCCAAAATCAAGTATTCGAAAAAAAAGTGTTTCAGAAATTTAGAGATTGTTGACAGTGGGAAAATAACAAAATAAATATTAACTCCGTTCAATTGATAATGAATAAAATGAGTGAAAAGCCATAAAAATTTCAGATTGTTCCTTCCGCAGCAATTTGAAATTTAATTCAAAAAAAAAGAAAAACAAAAAAAAAAAGTTTTTTTTCAAACAATTCGCTTTACCGGAAAATATTGTAGATCAAAAATTTGTTTTTTTAACTGAATGCGCCAAAAATTTCTGAATCGAAACAGTGAAGAATAACCGGTCGTCGGGGCACAAACCAAAAAAAAAGGTTGGGTATAAAAAATGGGCGGAGTCTAATAAAAAAGATAAAAAGGACACACAACGAACATGCCTCAATTTGAGGAATAATATGACACTTGAAAACTACAAATGGACGGTAACACAAGAGGATTGTGGTGGTCAGGAAAAAGAAAAAGATGAAGGAATACAACCGGTTGACTATTATGAAGAGAGAAAAAGAAGAGAAAATTGAAACAAGATGATGGAAACATGTACAGAGAAACAGAAAGTGATTGGCATTCTCGCAGGCCGCAATTGGATCACAATAGGATGTGTGTTTGTGTTTGGCAAGTCAGGAATTTTCGGGGTAAAAGAAGCAGATCAAAAGAGTAAGGTTCCCATGAGAGAGAAGAATGGGTTCAATCTATAAAGAAAAAACCGAGAGGAGGAGATTGAGTAACTACAGAATGATGATTTGAATAAATTTTGGTAAAAGTACGCTACGGAAAAAAAGTTTGTGTTTCGTGGTTTGATGTTACTGTCACATATCATTAACTTCGACCCAATTTACCAAAAAAAAGTATGATAGAAGGCCACCCAACCTTTCAACTTTGAACCCGCGCATCTAATTTTCTGCACAAGATTTCGAAAAGTTGTCATCTGACAGAATATTATTGAAATTGTAATAAACATTTTTTAGTGGACTGTTTTTTTATATCTGTTACAGGAACCGAGATAAATTGGCTCAAAGTGGACAAGTCGGCGCTTGCTGTCCCACCTACGCGATAAGCTGCCATCCTTTCAACTTCGAGCCTTTATATCTCAGTTCCTGTAAGATATATCAAAAAGTTGTCAACTAACAAAATGGTTTTGATATTATAACAAGAATTTTGTTAATTGACCTCATTTAGATATCTTTTACAGAAAAAGAGAGGTTCAAAGTTGGCTGTTTGAGACAGCTGAGCTGGTGGCGGCGCGGCATCTCCACCCTCTGTATTTACCCGCTTTGAGCTCAATTATCTCGGTTCCTATGAGAGATATTAAAAATCTGTTAACTGATAAAATATTAGTGATATTATGATAAACATTTTGATACTTGGTCACTTTTTGATATCTCACACAGGAGTTGAGATATAAGGATTCAAAGTTGAGGGGTTAGAGCTTCTATTAGAAAAAAAAACGGTTGTTTTTAAACAGCTCACAATGCTTGTTTTTTTCCAAAAATTTGAAAAACTAGATTGCTATTCATAGACTATAGCATACATCGAATAACAGACACACCAACAATTTAAAATTTGCCTAGTTCCGCAAAAACACCTCTCTTACCATCAAAAAATCTGCTCTTCTACGACTTTTCCAGTAGTTTCGACTTGTTTTTAAATTCACCAACTGATTGTTGATTTAGTAGACAAACATCGCTTCTCAGTGTTAAGGGAATACAGGAGATGACTCAAACAAAATGATAGGGGATGATGATTCTGATTCAATATTTATAAACAATTTTTAATTCGGTAGTAGTAAAGGGTTTATTATTTATTAGTAAATAATCGGAAGGGTTTGGTGATGAGTTGTGTCAATAGTTATGATCGGGTATCGGAGATTAGGAGATCAAGGAAGTAGGAAGAGAAATAAGGAAGTAATTGAGCCTTAATTGGCAGTAAAAAGTTTTCAAAGAAAAAAATTTCGGAGATTTACAACAAGAGGGGGTTTTTGGGATTTGAATATGCAAGTCCACCCAAACCGTCAACTTTGAACTCAATTATCTCGATTACTGTGAAAGATATCAAAAATGGTCAACTACCCAAATGCTCATCATAATATCATCAACATTTTATCAGTTGACAAATTTCTGATATATTTCATAGGAATCAAGATAATTGAGCTCAAAGTCAAAAGTTAGGGATCCTTTTATTGCAGGTTTTACGGTAGTTCATTGAAATCAATTTTTAATAGACCAATTCTTGCAAGTGAGATTTTTCCTAGTTTCCAAGAAAATCCGGCGAAATTCAGTCTAGGCAAAACGTGTGATCTAGAAATCAAAAATTCAGATTTCGGTCCAAAATAAACACACAAGTACTAATTTTCTGAATATCCACCCAGGTGGAATTCATTGTAACTGACTCACGATCTCAAAAGTTGGAGACCAACTTTTATTTTGACCAACTATAAACTACAAAAAAAACCCCCAGATGATACGAGTTGAAGAGGTCAACTTCTTATCAGCTCACGGTTTACGAATGGAATGGCAAGAATGAGAACAAAAAGTACGAAAATATGTTTTTAGGCAGTTGGAGATTAGGTTTTGAACACAAAAAAAGACACACGTGGCAAGAAAGGGATGTTTTTAACTAAAAATTTTAAGTGTGTTGTTTTAGAAATGTACTTTAAGGCCAAAAAAAAAAAGATTCAGGATACCGTAAACACACTATGTAACAGAAGGTTATCCAAACCAACAACTTTGAACCGATATATCTCGGTTAATGTGTAAGATATCAAAAATATGTGAACAGATAAAACGTCTATCATATTATCACCAAAATTTGGTTAGTTAATCTCTTTATGATATCTTTAATGGCAACCGAGATAATTGAGCTCAAAGTGCGTGAGTAAAGGGTGGTGCCCACCCTTGGAAGCGCCGCTTGAGCTGCTCCAATCCGCCAACTTTGAACTATTATATCTCATTTTCTGGGAAACATATCAAAAAGTGGTCAACTAAAAATTGCTTATCATGTTATCCCCAAAATTTTATCATTTGATTAATTTTTGATATCTTTTACAGATAAATTGAGCTCAAAGTGCGCATAAAGTGAGCTTCTATTATGGCGAATACGGCGGTTTTATGGGCTTTTTTTCTACTTTAGAGGTCCCAAAAAATTAGAGATTGTGGGCTTCTATAAAAGAAATACTGTAATTTATGTATTTGATTTCCATATAATATCAAAAATATCATTGAGCAATGATCATAGAAACAAAAACCATGAATCGGTTATAATCCAAATGGTTCAATTCCCCCCATCCGAATTTTCATTTTATACCAAAAATTTCCCACTCGTTTTCAAATAATCTCTCTCTAGATTTGGACTTTGAATGAACGATTTTAATGGGTTCAAGTAAAAATTCGGAAATTCAGAAATTCAGAAGTTCAGAAATTCAAAAACTCAGAAATTCAGAAACTCAGAAATTTAGAAATTCAGAAATTCAGAAGTTCAGAAATTCAGAAATTCAAAAATTCAGAAATTCAGAAATTCAGTAATTCAGAAATTCAGAAATTCAGAAGTTCAGAAATTCAAAAACTCAGAAATTCAGAAACTCAGAAATTTAGAAATTCAGAAATTCAGAAGTTCAGAAATTCAGAAATTCAGAAATTCAGAAATTCAGAAATTCAGAAATTCAGAAATTCAGAAATTCAGAAATTCAGAAACTCAGAAATTTAGAAATTCAGAAATTTAGAAATTCAGAAATTTAGAAATTTAGAAATTCAG